CTCCAGCAAAGGCTTTAGTCTCTTTAGGTCACCCACCTGCTCCTCTCTCTTTTTTTTTTTTCCATTTATTTTTATTTGCTCCTCTCTTTTGTGTGTGTTTTAGTTGTCTCCAGGGCGCGGCCTGAGGTTCTCGTGTCACTCATGCAAAAGTCTGGAGTCATGGACCTGGAGGCTATACAGATTCCTTTCCTGTGCCATCCACCCTTTCTCAGCTGTGTATCACAGGGAGACCTGTCCACCTGTGAACACCTACACACATTCCAAGTCTCAATTTAAAGGTCAGCTACTCCGTGGAGCCTTCTTTGGAACAATTCCTCTTCCTTTCCTTACGCTCCTTGCACATTGAAAACTTTTTGTAATAGCTTGGCTCCCCCTATAGAACTGTCAGCGCCTTGAGGGCAGGTACCGTGTCTCGTCTCTGTGTGGTAATAAGAACTAGTGTGTAGTAGATGCCTGGTAAATAACTGTCAAAGAAGTTAATTACAGTGAACATCTATCATAAGAGAAGTCAATGAGATAGCAGGAAGTAAAACACAGTACCCCTATGTTAGTTTGCTTCCTGTTTTTGTATACAGATTTATCAGTTGGCCCAATAATATCCTTGACAGCATAAATGTTTCTACAGGTAGCCCTCACCTTCAGCCTATAAAGGTTCCTGCCCACTGATTGACAGTGGCGGAGTTAGCCTTTAGACAGACGTCTGCCCTCCCCACCCCCAGTTGCCAGCATTGGCAACAGAACAAACTTTCCTTTCACCAACGTGGGCCTCTTTAATGCCTCTTGGGCGGTGAGCAGCCCAACCCCACTTTTTGGTAACAATACTTAGGGATGCCTACGTGGTAGGCTATTGAAGACTCTTCTTTGGGTTTAAGAAAGCTTGTTCATATTTGAACTGTGACCCTGAAATCTTCTTGTTGGACCAACTCCTTGAAATTCTTCTGGCACTGAAAAAGTGCCCCAAGAATGACTGTTTTCATGCAGCCATGCCCAGCACATTGGTGGGACCCACCTGAGGAATGCAAAGCATCCTATGAGGCCCTTTTAGGGCAGGCCCTCTAACTTATTTCTGTGCTCCCATTGTTGAATGAATGAATGAATCAGTGATCAAATTCTAAACTGGTTAGTGTGGGTACCCACTCAGATCTGCAGAGTTGATATGAAGGTTATTATTTTTTTTGAAGGTTATTTTAAACAAGATAGTTGAGACCCAGCAGATGCAGAAAGAAGCTTTTTTGGAACATCTCTTATCTGAATAAAAGTAGAGTCTTCTGAGGGTAAAGTTGCTATAAATCCACTTATGAGAGTTTTACAGCCTGAGAAAATATCGACCACTCACATTTGCATAGACAGATATTATCACAAATTATTTTCCATCCAGTTTATTCCCTTAAAAATCTCATTTATTTCCTGTAGAATCCCTATTTGCTCCCCCCACACACATTAAGTTCAGCTCAGTTCAGTCACTGAGTCGTGTCCAACTCTTTGTGACCCCCATGGACTGCAGCATGCCAGGCTTCCCTGTCCATCACCAACTCCTGGAGCTTACTCAAACTCATGTCCATTGAGTCAGTGATGCCATCCAACCATCTCATCCTCTGTTGTCCCCTTCTCCTCCCACCTTCAGTTTTTCCTAGCATCAGGGTATTTTTTTAATGAGTCAGTTCTTTTTATCAGGTGGCCAAAATATTGGAGTTTCAGCTTCAGCATCAGTCCTTCCAATGAATATTCAAGACTGATTTCCTTTAGGATAGACTGGTTGGATCTCCTTGCAGTCCAAGGGACTCTCAAGAATCTCCAAAACCACAGTTCAAAAGCATCAATTCTTTAGCGCTCAGCTTTCTTTATAGTCCAACTCACGCATTCATACATGACTACTGGAAAAACCATAGCTTTGACTAGACACACCTCTGTTGGCAATGTAATGTCTCCGCTTTTTTTTTTGTTCTGCTTTTTAATATGCTGTCTAGGTTGGTCATAGCTTTTCTTCCAAGGAGCAACTGTCTTTTCATTTCATGGCTGCAGTCACCATCTGCAGTGATTTTGGAGCCCAAAGAAATAAAGTCTCTCATCGTTTCCATTGTTTCCCCATCTATTTGCAATGAGGTGATGGGAGTGGATGCCATGCTCTTAGTTTTCTGAATGCTGAGTTTTAAGCCAATATTTTTTACTCTCCTCTTTCACTTTCATCAGGAGGCTCTTTAGTTCTTCTTCACTTTCTGCCATAAGGGTGGTGTCATCTGCATATCTGAGGTTATTGGGATTTCTCCCGGCAATCTTGATTCCAGCTTGGGCTTCATCCATCTCACTGCACGACAGGCCAATGAATCCAAGAGATGAGGCATTGAGTCAAAATATATGACTTTATTTGAAAAGTTGGCTGACTGAGAAGATGGCTGACTAATGTCTCAAAATAATTATCTTCCTTTGATCAGGATGTCAGGTTTCTTTATGGATCAGAGATGGGGAAGGTGAATAAGCAAGGTAAAAAGGTCATTAATCTTGCAAGTATTTTTAGAATGACAAGTCTCAGGTGGGGGGAATGTGTTAATTTCTTCCTTCCTGCCATCTATTGGTAGACAGGGTTCTGAACAAGGCACTTTATTTTTTTTATTTGTTTGTTTTTTAACCTGGAACATTTTATTTATTTATTTATTTATTTCATTTATTTTTATTAGTTGGAGGCTAATTACTTTACAATATTGTAGTGGTTTTTGTCATACATTGACATGAATCAGCCATGGATTTACATGTATTCCTCATCCTGATCCCCCCTCCCGCCTCCCTCTCCACCCGATCCCTCTGGGTCTTCCCAGTGCACCAGGCCTGAGCACTTGTCTCATGCATCCAACCTGGGCTGGTGATCTGTTTCACCATAGATAATATACATGTTTCGATGCTGTTCTCTCGAAATATCCCACCCTCGCCTTCTCCCACAGAGTCCAAAAGTCTGTTCTGTACATCTGTATCTCTTTTACTGTTTTGCATATAGGGTTATCGTTACCATCTTTCTAAATTCCATATATATGTGTTAGTATACTGTAATGGTCTTTATCTTTCTGGCTTAGTTCACTCTGTATAATGGGCTCCAGTTTCATCCATCTCATTAGAACTGATTCAAATGAATTCTTTTTAATGGCTGAGTAATATTCCATGGTGTATATATACCACAGCTTCCTTATCCATTCGTCTGCTGATGGGCATCTAGGCTGCTTCCATGTCCTGGCTATTATAAACAGTGCTGCGATGAACATTGGGGTGCACATGTCTCTTTCAGATCTGGTTTCCTCGGTGGGTATGAGAACAAGGCACTTTATTTTAACAGTCAGGCAGAGGGGCAGGATTCTCTGAGGCAGGCCTTTATATATGATCATAATAACAAAAGCAAGTCAAAGAAACAGTTCGTACATGGAGTTGGAATTGACTTCTCCCTGCAATATATATGTGTGTGTGTGTGTATGTGTGTATATATATATATATATTTATATATATTTATATATTGAGAAATGAAATATTTCAGTAAACATGGATGTCACAGTCACCAGTGATTTTTAGCTCTCCAATGTGAGCTGGTAAGGCCTAAGGGCACCCAGCAAGCAGAAGAATAACTGCCGTCTGGCAAACTGTGGAAAATTCTGAAAGAGATGGGAATACCAGACCACCTGACCTGCCTCTTGAGAAACCTATATGTAGGTCAGGAAGAAACAGTTAGAACTGGACATGTAACAATGGACTGGTTCCAAATAGGAAAAGGACTACATCAACACTGTATATTGTCACCCTGCTTATTTAACTTATATGCAGAGTACATCATGAGAAACGCTGGGCTGGAAGAAGCACAAGCTGGAATCAAGATTGCCAGGAGAAATATCAATAACCTCAGATATGCAGATGATACCACCTTATGGCAGAAAGTGAAGAGGAACTAACAAGCCTCTTGATGGAAGTGAAAGAGGAGAGTGAAAAAGTTGGCTTAAAGCTTAACATTCAGGAAACTAAGATCATGGCATCTGGTCCCATCACCTCATGGGAAATAGATGGGGAGACAGTGGAAACAGTGTCAGACTTAATTTTTTGGGGATCCAAAATCACTGCAGATGGTGATTGCAGCCATGAAATTAAAAGACGCTTACTCCCTGGAAGGAAAGTTATGACCAACCTAGATAGCATATTAAAAAGCAGAGACATGACTTTGCCAACAAAGGTCCGTCTGGTCAAGGCTATGGTTTTTCCAGTGGTCATGTATGGATGTGAGAGTTGGACTATAAAGAAAGCTGAGTGCCAAAAAAATTATGCTTTTGAACTGTGGTGTTGGAGAAGACTCTTGAGAGTCCCTTGGACTGCAAGGAGATCCAACCAGTCCATCCTAAAGGAGATCAGTCCTGGGTGTTCATTGGAAGGACTGATGCTGAAGCTGAAACTCCAACACTTTGGCCACCTCATGTGAAGAGTTGACTCATTGGAAAAGACCCTGATGCTTGGAGGGATTGGGGGCAGGAGGAGAAGGGGACGACAGAGGATGAAATGGCTGGATGGCATCACCGACTCGATGGGCATGAGTTTGGATAAACTCCGAGAGATGGTGATGGACAGGGAGGCCTGGCATGCTGTGATTCATGGGGTCACAAAGGGTTGGACACGACTGAGTGACTGAACTGAACTGAACTAAAAGAGCTGCATGAGTGTATTTTATCTTCCAAATATATTTCATATCAAAAGACCTTCTATATTCAAAGACAGGACTGCTAGGATTTTATGTCATTTCTGAGGTCATCACCTAGAGAGGAGGATGACCCCTCTGTAGGAAGTGGGAGTCAAATGTTTGTGGGAAGTATATGTGAGTATCTCCTTACCTAGAAAAGTTCTTAGGAAGAGGGACATCTTTCTGGTTGACTGTAAGCCAGGGAGGCTACAGGTGGGAGCTGGGGTTCTCTTTCTAAGGTGATGCTTTTCCTCCTCTCCCCCTTTCCTCATTCAGGTTCCTCCAGGGGAGTGCGGTCATCATGGCTCTGAAGTCCCTGGTCCTGTTGTCACTGCTGGTCCTGGTGCTGCTGCTGGTGTGGGTCCAGCCTTCCCTGGGCAAGGAATCTGCAGCCCCCAAGTTTGAGCGGCAGCACACGGACTCTGGCAGCTCCCCCAGCAGCAGCTCCAACTACTGCAACCTGATGATCGTCTGCTGGAAGATGACCCAGGGGAAATGCAGGCCAGTGGACACCTTTGTGCACGAGTCCCTGGCCAATGTCAAGGCCGTGTGCTCCCAGAAGAAAGTCACCTGCAAGAATGGGCAGTCCAACTGCTACCAGAGCAAATCTGCCATGCACATTACAGAGTGCCGCAAGACTGGCAGCTCCAAGTACCCCAACTGTGCCTACAAGACCACCCGGGTGGAGAAACGCATCATAGTGGCTTGTGAAGGAAAACCGTATGTACCAGTCCACTTTGGTGCTTCAGTGTAGGTCTCCACCTGAGGCCAGAGCAGCAAAATGCGCCACTTCATCACAAAGGCATCTGCCTCTCCCTCATGTTTCCTTGCCCTGGGAGCAATAAATCAAGTTAGTTAAGGCTTTTATCTCTGCAAACTCCCACCACACACACACCACCCCCCACCCCCCACACCATGTTTCCCTGGCATGAGGGTAATAACTCAAGCTAGTTAGGGCTCTTATCCAACACACACATGCTCCCCTGGCCTGAGGCTTGCCCCTGTGTAGTTTGGGGGGTGAGGAGTGGGTTGTAATATGGGACCCATGTTAACCAAATCACTGCTACTTTCAATAAAACACACTTGCAACCACCTGAATTACTGATGCTGTCCTCATGTATGAGGGCTTCTGTGGTTGTGGTGCATAGGCTTAGCTGCTCCAGGGCATGTGGAATCTTCCTGACCCAGTGATCGAACTCACATCCCCTGCATTGACAGGCAGTGCCACTAGGGAGGTCCCCATTTTCCTTTTTTTGAGGAGCTATTGCCAAATCAGAAAGATGGTTCTCTCTCACTTGGAAACTTGGAACTCTCTTTTCAGAGGCTAGAAAGGACTTCAGAGATCACCAAATAAGGGATTGATAAGTAGATTTCAGCTTGTGGGCCAACTCTAAGTGGAAATGCCTGCCTAGAATGTTGTAGAAAAATGCCTAAACAGTGATGTGATGGAGCAGTGGTCTCCACCAAAGGCTTGAGGGAGGTGATGTGAAGGTGTATGTGTCATCCAGTGGCCATCCCTGACCTAATGAAACCCCTGCCTTTTACAGGAGGGCACCCTGAATCTTAGAGAGGTTAAGTGACCTGCTCCTGGCATCTGTTAGTGTCTGACAGAGACCAGACCCTGGGTGTCCGGGCCACTCAGTTGTTTCTCCTTCCACTACTGGAGTCTGCCACAAGGGGGAAATCACCCAGTCTCCCTCCTTCATGGAGAGCTGTGAAGTCATAGCTTTCTCTGCCCGAGTTGTTGGTAGCTCCCACAGGTTCCCAGTGCTCCTGTCTGCGAGGCTACTCAGTTCTCCACAATCCTTCCTTACATCATTGAAAAGACCAGACTTGGCTTCTGGCAGCATGTAATCATTTCATATGATCCTCTGTGCACACTTGCATCTGGCTCTAGACGAGGTCATAAAGCTAGAGGGAGATCCTACTGCCAACCAGTCTAACCAGTTCTGTCATCATGTGTACTACATTTATAAATAGTGGAATCAACTGTGTGTTTTTAGGTAAAGTGAGTGCTTAACCTTGGAGTCTGTGGTGTGAGGGGCGGACAGCTGATTCAGTGGTAGTAGGGAATCTCACTCCTTACAGTGAGGCTGGAGGAGGGGAAAAAGGGGAAGCTGTTTCTAGATCTATTTTCTTTAGATAGAATTTTCCCTAAGTTCGTCTAACTCTTGCTTCCAAACGGAAGTTCCTCATTGATCTTCCTGAGCTAGAGCTAAGAGAGCATTTTAATGGAGGTTCAAACACTCACTTGGAGTTTTGCTCCATCTACTCTATAGAGTCACCAGCTTTGGCTACTGGTTCCCTGCGTGTTCTGGGCCAGGGGACCTTGTGAGCTTCCGTCTTTGGGCTCCACTTTTCCACTGCAGGGGGCAGTGTTCCCTCCCTGGTTGGGGAACTAAGGCCACAGGGTGGGACCAAAAAAAACCAAACAACAACAGCAACAAAAACCAGAGGTTTCTCTTCTGTGGAGAGAGTATTGCTGCCTCACAAATAAAGGAGTACTAACCTCTTCCAGACTAACTCAAGCAGGTTAATCTTAAAATTGAGGTGCTAACTGTGAAGATGGGCATCTGTATAAAGATAGAAATGACTATATCCTGTGACTCTTCTAAGATCCCTCTGATGGGAGGGATTGCCCTGCAACAATATTGCTATACTGGGGGATACCACTCACTGAGTCAAACTGTGCTGTCATCTCTGGAATCTGGCAGAAAGTGAAAAATAAAAGCCATTTTTATAAGTAAATAATAGAAAATTCTGGAACAATCATCCATTTCATAATTTGATCACTTTGAGAAAAGTTTTAGAAAAATGAAATAGAAAGTAGGTGAAGTCAAGTCTGCGCTTTCAGGGTTTTGTCTGTGGAATGCCAACAGTCACTGAGGCTGGCCCAGATATCCCTCCATGGATTGGTAAATAAGGGGCTTTGGTTAGAAGAATGTGCATTTTGTTTCACCAGCAGTGAGATGTGTTAACACGCTAAGGTAAGGTAAGTGAAGTCGCTTAGTCGTGTCCAACTCTTTGCGACCCCATGGACTGTAGCCTACCAGGCTCCTCCATCCATGGGATTTTCTAGGCAAGAGTACTGGAGTTGGTTGCCATTTCCTTCTCCAGGGGATCTTTCCAACCCAGGGACCGAACCCGGGTCTCCCGCATTGCGGGCAGACACTTTACGGTCTGAGCCACTGTGGTGCTTTAGAGTTAACGCTCTAAACTGAAACAAAACCCAAGAACTTTAAGGACAACAAGTCCCTACCCTTCTCATCAGGTACACTTGAAAGGGCTCATCAGGATAGTTCACCACCACTGAGGGCAACATTTCAAAGTTATCAGCTCTCAGGCTGCTGTCCTGAAAATGGAAAGTAACTGAAATACTCAGCAGTAGGACAAAGGTTTAACAAGTGATGGCACCAATGTAGGATGGCAAATTTTGCTGCCATAAATTCTACCCTAGGAGAACTATATGGGAGTGGAAAACATTCCTTTTATGTTGCTGAATGAAAAAGCAGAACATGGACTAGTATGTATCTCACCACACATTTTAGTTTTAAATATAATCAGGAAAAATACTGGATGGAAATTTGTAAATACAAAAAGCATTTGTCCTTTGGTTGGTGAGATTACAACTGACTAGATTTGGAATTTTTCCAAATTTTCTAACATTTATTTACTGAATATGTGCTACTTTTTAAAACTAGAAACCAATTTAAAATGTCATTTAAAATAGTTGCCCCTTAAACCAGACACTCTGAGGTTCTCTCCAATCCTCTGCTTGCTGCAGTGAAGACTGCACACTTACCTGGAATTTTGGACTCCTCCTCAGGTAGGTGATATCGATGGGGGAATGTTTGGAATTCCAGGGCTGCTCAGAGAATTCTTAACTACTTTTTATGTGGTCAGTCCACATATTTCTCCCAAGAACCCTCCAGGTAAAATGTTTTCCCCTCCTTATAATTACAGTTTCCCAATTGCTGTCCTTCAGAAGTCTGATTGGTAACATACACCTTCCAGGATATCTCTATTTTAATGCAACAATATTTTTTCTAAGAATTGCCATTGACTTCTCCCTTGGTCTTCTGCCATCCATTCTAAGAAAAGTCAAAGAAGCTTGCTGTCAGCAAGAAAGCAGGATCTTTGTGTGAATACATATAAAGGTATAATTAAAAGTTCTATTAGGGACTTCCTGGTGGTCCCAGTGGTTAACAATCTGGCTGCCAAAGTAGGGAACACCACTTCTATCCCTGGTCCAGGAAGACTCCACATGCCAGGGTACAAATGAGCCTGTGCACCACAGCTATAAAGCCTGCCCTCCAGAGCCCGAGAGCCGCTACTGCAGAAGTCTATAGAACCTGTGCTCCGCAACAGGAGAAGCCAGTGCAGTAAGAAGTCCATTAACAACAGCTAGAAAGTAACTCCTGCTTACTGCAAGTGGAGTACATTCACTGCAAGCCCACCTGCAGCAACAAAAACTCAGCACAGCTAAAAAATAAGATGGTAAATAAAAATTTAAAGAAGTTTTATTAAAAGCCCTGATACTTTTAAGCTGTGTGACCTCAAGCAAAGTGCTTGGACCTTCTTCTGAGTCACCCCAGAGCAGCTTGTATTAGCTACAGAGGGGTGCTTACAGACTATTTTTAAAGCCCCAAATAAAGGTACAAGCACTTTGCTTGAGGTTAGGTTAGGCATTATAATGGATCCTCTGAAAACTGATGCTGTGATGGAATGCTTGATTCTAACGCACATTGATGCTCAGCTACTATGGTTAACAAGGCTTTAGAAAAGTATCTAAAAAGTTAGTAACACCATTCAGGGGAGTGAAAAAATGGAACTGTCACATCCATTTGGTTTGCATTTCTTTTCTTCTCTGGAAGAGTTTATCTCAAATGTCTTTAATTCCCCCATTATCTTAGATGATCAGTAGTGCACGAAGGAAGATTCCACAAGGTGCTCTAAGGGACCAAACATATTTACTGATTCACGTTAGTCAATGGTTACAGGTTAAGGCTATTCAGAGGATGTAAAGGAAATAAAGTCTTTGACCTTCACTTCTTCCACTTTTTGTTGTCCTGATAGTAACGTGTGTGTGTTAGTCGCTTAGTTGTGTCTGACTCTTTGTGACCCCATGGACTGTAGCATGCCAGGCTTCCCTGTCCATCACCAGTTCCCGGAGCTTGCTCAAACTCATGAACATTGAGTCAGTGATGCCATCCAACCATCTCATCTCTGTTGTCCCCTTCTCCTCCCACCTTCAATCTTTCCCAGCATCAGGGTCTTTTTTTTAGTGAGTCAGTTTTTTGCATCAGGTGGCCAAAATATTGGAGTTTCAGTTTCGGCATCAGTCCTTCCAATGAATATTCAGGACTGATTTCCTTTAGGATTGACTGGTTGGATCTGCTTGCTGACCAAGGGACTCTCAAGAGTCTTCTCCAACACTGCAGTTCAAAAGCATCAGTTCTTCAGTGCTCAGCTTTCTTTATGGTCAGACTCTCACACCCATACATGACTACGGGGAAAACCGTAGTTTTGACTTGATGGACCTTTGTCGGTAACATCTCTGCTTTTTAATATGTTCTCTAGGTTTGTCATAACTTTTCTTCCAAGAAGCAACTGTCTTTTAATTTTATGGCTGCAGTTACCATCTGCAGTGATTTTGGAGCCCAAGAAAATAAAGTCTGTCACTGCTTCCTTTGTTTCCCCACCTATTTGCCATGAAGTGATGGGACCAGATGCCATGATCTTAGTTTTTTGAAT